TTCCTCCAAATCCGACGTTGCTATTCGACATTCGTTTTTTATTAAACCTCATGAAAAGTAGCTGGCATTTCCTCTTCAAATTGTCAACCGAAGGCCAGGGTTATTTTGTGTTTTACTTTCCGTGAAAAAAAAAATCGAAAATCCGTGAAAAAAAATCAGTGAAATTTTCAATTCCAAATGTCGGTGTTCTCATGGTGACTACGGACCGCGTCAAACAGAATGAAACCAAGCCACATCAGCTATTGCAAAATTTAACTCGGCAATTTACTTTTTTACATGAAAACGGTTGTGCGGATTTTGCGCAACTTTCGGTGAATTTTTGCATAGCACGAAGCAACTTTCTTCCGATTTTCAAAGGAATCACTGGTAAAAAAAAAAAAAACCTTTTTGACCAATGCCGCTTTGCACTGACTTAAGAGTGCAGTTTCTCGTCGCCGGATTTAAGAGTCTTGAACTCTTGTTTCAAGCGGATTTTGCATTGAAACAAAGAGTCCAGACTCTTAAATCCGGCGACAAGAAACTGCACTCTTGAACCAAGAGGTTTTTTTTACCAGTGATCCGCACAATAATATTCATGTTAAAAATTAAATGGCTCAGTTAAATTTGGCAATTGCTGATGTGGCTTGGTTCCTCTTCGTTCAACGGTTCGGTCTGTATGAGGAAGAATCTGGCAGCATAGAACTATAGTTACGTTCTTTCGTTAGGGAAATTAAGATTTTAGCTGAGACAAGAATTATCGGGATCCAATTAGAAATAGGCGTATTGATACTAAATGGAACTGTGTGCAAGTGGAAAGATGGGGTGTGCTCGTTAGTGGTCGGGCCATAAGAATGAATGGGGATTTTAATGTGCCAGTGACGTCAGCGGCAACGATCGAGACGCAAAACGGTGACGAGCTCGTCGTCTGGGCGCCTTAATTCATGAGCCCTGCCCACAAGGCTCTTGTGATATGTCCACGGCTCACGAGTTAGTCCTCAGTCCCTTTTGATTTGTAAAATCCCGCTTTTCCATTTTCTGAAAAGGAACTTTATCCACTTTTACATTGTTTTTTATCCAGCTTCCACGAGCGCACCCCATCTTTTCGCTTGCACGTAGTTTCTTTTAGCATAAATACGTGTACCAATTCCTAATCTTCTCATGGTTAATTTAATACACGGAAAAAAAAGAATTGCTGATTCAGCAATTCAATTGCTAAAAACAGTGAGTGCAATGTTTCAACGCAGATTTTACAACAAAAAAATGCTACTTTAACCACATTGTAAACTAATTCAACCATGGGGGTGGTTAAAGTAGCATTTTTTGTTGTAAAATCTGCGTTGAAACATTGCACTCACTGTTTTTAGCAATTGGATTTTTTTTTTCCGCGTAGCAATTTGCGAGGGAAAATCTGCTAGCATGGAAATAGAGTTAGGCTCTTTGGTGAGGGAAATGAGGATTTAAGCCGAGACAAGAATTATCGGGATCCTGAGTTTCAATTTCCTAGGGAAGGAATCGATGGAGAAGCTGGCGCTTGGAGGGATGCGACGAGGGATGCGGCCGGCGGAAATAGCATAACTCAGGAGCGATATCGGGGAGCCGCCGACCGGAAACGTCCGGCCGACGCGACGCCCGCTCCGGCCGCGACGCCCGCTCCGGCTCATAAAATCACGGTCAACGTTTCCTCGGACGCGGCCACGACTCGCTGCATCCGATCCCGGCCAACGTCCCCTGCCTCCCGACCCGTAAACTCACTTACTCCTAGCTCCCGTTATATCAAGAGAAATGGACGAGGCTAGCGCCAGGCATTTTTTCCCGATTTTTTGAACCTGCGTCCTCCTCGACGAAGCAGATATCGCCGTAGGTTGCGAAAATATACCGCAATTTTAAGCGTATTTTGGTTGATGATCGGTCGAACCAAAATGGGTGGATCATGCTATTTTCGTATTTTGCTTTGACGCGATCAAACTTTTTCGGGACTCACCAGACAGATGGACGGTGGAATTCTTGCAAACATTGGAGCCAAAAGTGAACCCTACAAAAAGTAGGATCATGAGTAACCCCGATGTGAATGATGGCATTCAACAAGCATCAATGCCGAATGCCTAACCTCTAAATATATTAGAAAGACCGCCAAACGCCAAACCTGTCATTTGTTAGTTTAAACGTTTAATTTTTTTGTGTTTAATAATTAAAACAATAATTTCTAGTCTGGTTTAATTATGAGCAGCGACAACTCATATAGGCCGATACATCTCCGTTTACGACATTACAGACTTATGCCTGCCCTATCCTCTTTTTTCTTTGGAAAACTAGACACCATGTTTTCTTGAAAACATTACTTGATTTTTCCTCTGAGCTATCTTCATATTCTGTATATATCATAAGCAATAAACTTTGCTATGTGGATTTGTGGTTTCCAACTTAGGTGATGTACGTACCAAATGATACTACCTAGATGTGAATTCTGAGCGATATTGCGAGTGCCCTAGACTTACGTAGTGGTTCTATTACTCATCTAAGTTGATTTCGTCTTGAAACCTTTGACTTACCTGGGAATTTAGAGATTTCTTGGAAGTCGTGAGCAATTTGTGCTGCTTCTTGTGCATCAGGCCATTTGATTACGAGGGGCGTTCGTAAAGTAAGTATATATCTTTATTTTCTCCGGAACTAATGAAGATAAATTAAAACGGTAAAAAGTGTTTTAAGCGTCATACTTTCAGCTTTTCAAAAAGTCTTCGTTTTTTAAATTTGGTCCACCCGTTCGCGAGTGACGTCATTTTTCCCGCGCCCATCTCTCGTCACCGCGTGTCCAAAATATTCGAGCGCGGCGGAGCTCCTCATGGGTCATGGATCCCCTCATGGATCCTCATGTAGGAAAGAAAGTTCAAACTGATTTGTTGATGTTGGAAAATTAGAATGTGGGAGCGATTTGTCACAGAATATGCGTTAAGACTAGTTAAATCAAATTTAGAAAAAAGGAACCAGCTTGATTACAGTGTTTTCAAAATCGTGCAACCCTTTTATTTGAAAAGTACTTAATATATGTATACGGTATCGAAATTTGCAAAATTATTTTCCTTCAAAATTAAGTATGTTTTGGTGGGAAGTCAAAACAATTTGCTCATCTAGGAGATTTTTTAGATGATTATGAGGAAGCAATATTATTACAACACGGAAATCGCGCTGGTTCCTTTTTGCTAAATGCGATCTAGTTGTACTTAAAATCATTAATATCTTAATTTTTTCAAAAACTGCAATTAAGCGCCTTGTCCTCCAAGCTCCTCATTTTTAATCTACCAGAGGGAGTATGATTACCGCTAGAGGGTTGCAATTGTTCATGAAAAATAAAATTTTGAATTTTCACGTGAAGTATCTGCTGGAATATCAGAAATTTATGAAAAATATTGAAAAATACCAGTTCCTTTTCATGTTTCGCAAAATGTAAAAATTGTGTCTGGCGTTTATTTATGTGTAATTGAGTGCGGGTTGCATACTATAATCCCTGAAAAATACGAAACCTTTCACAGTCCCTGAAATTCCATGAAATATTTCACGGAAATTGCCAATCTTTCATATTTTCCATTTCACGCCTGCAACCCTGACGCTGGACCAACTCCACCGGCGATCCCGCTAGGAAAAATATGAAGCTTTACGTTGGCAAGTGCGCCCGAGCTTGCTGTTGGCCTCGCATCGTGGTGGTTTAAGAGAATGTGCAGCGAATAATTCTCAATCCACTTTTGTTCTCCGCTCTGGCGCGTCTCACGTGTTTCACTGCCGTCGCGCCACCTCCCCCCCCCATCCCGCGCCCCGTCTCGTCGCGAGCTTGTTTATAGGTTATGAACCCCACTGCCGCCGTCCTGTTCATTTCAATTATATTCCTCGCAAACACGGGAAAGTAATTTCCCTGATTGTGTCTACGAGAGCACTGCTAAGGAGACAACAGCCTCGAAAAGACAGATATCGCGCCTTCGAAAGGTGTTGCCAGCACTGTCAAAATATCCGGAGTTGCCACGGTCAAGGAATACCGAGAAAACGGGGAAATCTTAGGGAATTTTCGAAAGTCAGGAAAAATCATAAGGAATAATTGTCCAGTTCCCTTTATTCGTTCTCTGGAATGCGCTCAACGTTTCGAAAAATAGAATTGCATATAAACTATTTCTAATTATGCACTGAAAAAAAAAGTTCGGTAAATCCAACCTAGTTAGGATCATATGGAACCACGATTTTGTTCGGTACACACGACCGAATTATTTGGTCTGCTCAGCCGAACTGTTCGGTCCACCGAACCGAACTGTAAGAATTTATTATGGTTAGGTCGCACAAACCGAACAATTCGGCTGAACAGACCGAATAATTCGGTTGTGTGTACCGAACAAAACCTGGTTCCATATGATCCTAACTAGTTCGGATTTACCGAACTTTTTATTTCAGTGTGTCTCTTCAACCCTCTAGCATAACTTCAATTGTCAAGGAATTTCACCAAAGTTTGTCAGGGAAAACAGAAAAATGACAGGGGATTTCATTTCTAGATTCGGTGGCAACCCTGAATGTTGGTATTCGATTTAACCAAAAGCACTATGGGTTTTTCATCTTCAGATGCCATGAAATATTTATTTTATTTTTTCTTATTTATTTATTCTTTTGCTTTTTGCACATTTGGCTTCACAAAAACGTCATTTTCTAAATAAAGGTACTGATAGGTATAAACATATTTACATACAAATCGTCTTAAATTCATTCATTGACATTCAAAAATTCATTGACATTCAAAAATTCATTGATTGAGGACGGGCATTTTGCAATCAAATGCCTTGTGGCCAGCTTACCGAATGTTGGACTACATATGCTTTCCTGTATAATCTTTGGCAAATAGCAGACAAGATGTGCACATAATTTTCGATCAAAATTTGAGCCAAAACACGATTCACGTTGCGAAAAGTTTTGAGAGTATAACTAATAACAAAAATGAGAAGGTCTTTCGATGCGGAAATGTGAGCGTGCTGTAGTGTGCTAGGAATTACCTGGCATGATGGAGACCGTTTTGAGCGCCCTGAGCACGCGGAAAGTTCTGAGCCCGGCGAGATTTCCGACCTCCATGCCGATGGTCGCGTAGCCGGAAGTGATGACAACGAAGTCGAGCCAGTTCCAAGGGTTTCGCAGGTACGTGTACTTGTTCAGGATGAAGCCCTTGGCGATCGTCTTGATTATCATTTCCGCCGTGTAAATCGCCAGGAAGATGTATCTGAAACACCATCCCAGGTTCTCACGTTACGTCACTTCTATACGAATGTAGCAAGCCAAGTGCGAATAAGGATAGAAGATGGGGTGATTAGTCAAAATGTCCTGAGTGCAAAAATGTCCAAAGTAAAAAAAGTCCATAAGTAATAAATGTCCAAGTGTCTGAAATGTCTAATAGCGGTAACACGGCCAAAATTCAAGATTGTAAATTCGAAGAGGAGGTGATTCGCGGTGGCGCGGCGTGAACGATTCGCATTATTATAGATATTTTGCCATTTGAAGTCGTGGTAAAGAATCTATCATTAGTGTTCGTTACGAACACCCTGTTTATTGATCCTTTTTTATATTTTTAAATGGCTGATGAATCAATGTATCGCAAAGCACGCCGTGTTGCACAGTTGATGTTAATCATTTGAAATTCATCTTTTTTTGTTCATTGAAGTTTCATTCCCAAAAATTGGCGCTATTTTTTAACTGCCTTTTTTCTTTTCGATTCTTTTTACAAGCATCAGTTTCCAGCTCAGGAACCGATTTGGACCGCGTCAAGCAGAAAGGAACCAAGCCACATCATCTATTCCTAATCTGAATAGGCCAATAAAATTTTTCTCTTGAAAACGATTGTGCGGATCTTCGTAAAAATTTCAGTGAATTTTCCGCACAGTACGAAACACATGTCTTACCATTTTCCAAGGAATCCGCACTAGTGTTCTTTTTTAAAAAATTAAATTGCCAGGTTAAATTTGGCAATAGCTGATGTGGCTTGGTTCCTTTCTGTTAAGCGCGGTCCATTCGGTGTTTCTACGAATTGAAAAACCAAATATAGAACCTAACTTATTGCGAGTGTACTCGATGAGTTGGACGTATTTCTATCAAACGGAACTATGTGCATTGAGACATGAGCCCTGAGACCAATAAGAATATATACATAACAAAGCTCACGTCATAATGCACATAGTTTCGTTTGATAGAAATACGTCCAGTTTGGGTTAAGTCCCCCCTCATGTATAAAACTTGAAAGACTCGTCAATTAATAGAGGGGTTCTGGTTTCGTGCTTGGCTGCTCTCTAATAAAAATTTCAGGGGAAAAGGAAGGAGACTTCTTCATGGAAGAGGAACTGCGCTTGAAGAAATGCCGGAAGGATTAAGCAAGAAACTACGTCACGCGTAACAAAAGTGGGCTCGAGGTACTTTTCTCTGAAATCGCGGCGCTGTTGGAATGATGAATTCTGTTTTCAACGAATCTTTGAAGGAGGCAGAGAATAGTCAGTCGCAATGTCGCACACCTTGGCCTACTTTTCGTAGAATCTGCCGCCCGTACTTTGATGCAGGAATGGACGAATACTTAGTAAATGTTTCAGTCGCCAATGGACCACTTAGACAGGGTGCGAAGTTAATAATTCAATACATGTTCTTTAACCAGATTTTCACTTAGACCACGATTCTCAAATCTAAAATTACTGAAATTAACTCTCAATCAAGATATCAACGTTTTTGTTACATTGGTCACGGGAATTTTGAATTGCCCAGTCACAAGAAACGCAACCCTCTACGTTAGGCAAATCGCGCCTCACAACAGTTTTGGCAGGCATTGTCCCTTTCCCACCCTTTATCGTGTAGAGTGTAAAAAGTTTGCTATAGTCGAGTCAAAGCGGCAAGATTGAGGTTGCCAGATGTTCATATCGCAGGGATTGTTATGGTTAAGTGTGCGACTTGACTCACGTAGACCACTGTATTTTTATGAGCGACAGCTTTAAATTCTCGCGTCAAGAAACACAAATATCTTGGTTAGGAGTTGATTTCAGTAATTTTCTTCGCACGAATCGTGTTCTACGTGAAATTTTGGCCAAAGAAACATGCTTAACTTGCGTACCTAATGCGTATCTGGTGTACTGCCGTGCTAAGGAAGAACGCCGTATGAGCCTTCATGCGTTGCCAAGTTTCCTTCCATAAAAACCGAATTCACTGAGAAAATTATGAATGTTTTCTTCCGAAATTTGTTGAAACTTTTGTACGCAATTTAAACCAAAAGTTCTGAAAATTTCAAATAAAAATGTGCATGAGTCAATGAGAGAGGTCTGACGTGAAATTTTTGACGAAAATTGCAAATTTTGATCTTTATTTCGTCACGTTTTACTTTTCAAGCGGTGATTTTAAAAGAAAATGTCACGAGGAATCCAATGAAACCACTTTTAGAGCCCCAAATTTTATTATAAACGGAATTATGAGCGTTTAAAGTTTCCAAATTGTGTCGGACCTCTCCTATTGAATCGATCCACGGTGCGGCAGTCTAGTGGTCCGTTGTGTAGCTGGAAGATTTCATGTACTTACTCGGCCTCTTCGACGGGATCGGTTTTGGCGAGAAAGACGCAGTTAAGGAGGATTAAAAAAAAATGGAAAAAGACATTTTTTTTTTTCAATTATGTCTCCTTAACCATCCGTCATATCTTCAATTGTCGGGGAATTTCACCAAAATTTGTCAGGGAAATGGCAGGGAGTTTCATATTCTAAATTCTGGGGCAACTCTGAAGAAATAGTGCATGATTTTCGTCAAAAATACTGTTTTATCTAGGGAAATTTGGCAACCCTCGGATGTTGATACGGCGTTCTTGGAGGATTTCATGTACTTACTCGGCCTCTTCGACGGGATCGGTTTTGGCGAGGAAGACGCAGTTGAGGAGGATGGTGGTCATGACGACGTAGTCGAAGTACTGGTTCGTCGAGAGGAATATGCAGCTCCGCCGGATCGGGTTCCAAGGCGAGAAGAGGAACAGCGAGGCCGTCGCCGTGAACCGGTGGATGTAATTCTTCCGAAACCGCTTCGATACAACACAGAACGTCTGAAACACAACCAAACATATCCCATCAGATAACTTCCAAACGCTTCGTCCACCACAGACTTTTTAACATTGGGGGCAGTTTATGAGAGGAAAGAGAATTTGGGACCTTCACTGGTAAAAAAAATCTCTTGGACTAATGCAATGGTGCATTGACTTAAGAGTGCAGTTTCTTGTCGCCGGATTTAAGAGTCTTGAACTCTTGTTTCAAGCGAATTTTGCATTGATTCAAGCGGATTTTGCATTGGTTCAAGCGGATTTTACATTGAAACAAGAGTCCAGACTCTTAAATCCGACGACAAGAAACTGCACTCTTGAACCAAGAGGTTTTTTACCAGTGTTGGACATAGAAGACGACGTATGAAAATCATAAAATTCTTCAAAACACCGAGAAAAAAGCATCGCAGCTATCAAATAACCATATATTCTCAATACCAATACGGGCCTGTATTGGTGCCGGGTGGTCTGAATCACCCAGTATAGGTCTATTTTTGATGAAATTTCACGTTGAATTTCAATGACTTGAAATTTCAGAAACTTTTTGAAATTATTTGAAATTTTTACGTGAAATTACAGGGAAGATCTCACGTTGATGACAAGCTCATAATAACGGGCTCGTAGATTTGGTTGAAAAAATTGTCTGACTCAAGATTTGGTTCCAAAAGAGAACCAAATCCCTTCGCAAAATGTTGCCTAAAATGATGTTAGACCTCGGCTCAACGCTTCATAATTTGTTGCAGGCAAGTGGTAAAAGATCGAACTTCCAGTTTATTTCATCCGTTTATTTTCGGGAGGAAATAGCTTTGAAAATCGACGGCGGTATCAATTCAGAATACACGCCCGTCCGATGAACCGTCGCGTCGTCAGGCGTCACCTATGCGACGCCCGAGCGAAACTCAAAGAGCGAGAATTGGGCTGAAAGCATTATGCCTTGCTAAGGAAGAACGCTGTATGAATATTCGAGAGTTGCCGAATTTCCTTCAGTAAAATGGTTATTTTTCGAGGAAAGTTACGAATTTTTTTCCTTGAAATTTTCAGATTGCTTACACCAACTTTCGAGCAAAATGTTATGAAATCTCGGAGTATATTAAGTATTCACAAATTTTCCTGAAAATTCGTTATGTTTCCAAGGAAATTCGGCAACGCCCGATGGCTCATACGGTGTTCTTCCTTAGGACCGCGGCATTGTCCCCGACAAGAGTATTAGATCTCACCGGGGGCTATTTTTACGGCCGCGAAACGTGGAGGAGTATTTTACACGTACGCCGCAACGACATTGTGTATGCGCGACGCCGCCGGAGCATTGTGGGTGGCATAAATTTCATGAAGGCGCATCGAATGACCGACCACGTCTGCCGACGGATGGACGAGACGTCGACGTCGATGGCGGTCAGCCCCCCCCCCCCCCCCCCCCCGGCCGACGCCTCCTCAAAGTGCCCGGCTAATAAATTCAATTAGCGTTGCCGCTAAAGTGCCGCTAATGCGTGTCGCCGCGTATCGTTTGAATGTTAATTATTCACCTCGGGTTTGCCGTCGAAAAATCTTCACTTTTCCTCCATCAGATAATGCTTTTCGGGGGAAGGATAGGTGCCCATAAGGATCTCTCTCGCCCCGGATACTTGTCTAATATCGCAAATGCTTCGGAAAGATCGTGAGTTAGGGTTGCGGTTGCGGTCAGCAGAAATTCAGGGAAAACCGGGAAATGTCAGGGGAAATGACGAAAATGTGAGGGAATATTTGTTGAACAACCTTTATTTGCGCTCTAGAATTTGTTTGAGGTTTCGAACAAAAAATTTTGCCTAAAAACCATTTTCAATTGTGCCTTCTTAACCATACGTCGCATCCTCAATTGTCGGGGAATTTCGCCAAAATGTATCAGGGAAATATCAGGGAATTTAATTTTCTTAATTCTGTGGCTACCCTGGTACGTGGTGGTGAATTTCCTCTTTTAATTTCTTTCTCACACATGTCATAAAGACACTGTTGAGACATTAAAAAAAAAACTTGAAACCTTGTAAAGAGCATGAGCATGATTATAAGGAGTACAATTATAATGGTGGTAGTCTGTTAAAGTCTATACCATATGCTTATCGTAATGAAAAAAACAATGCATTTTAACAGTTGACTAAATTAGGATCGTATATTGATGAAACTGCAATGCAGCCTACCTAATACGGAAACTAAACCAGGGCTGAAAATCATCGTAATATACATCCAAATTACAGCCAAGTTCTTTTGCTGCTGCTACGTTTGCTGGCGGACCATCGCTTGTCAGAGCTTTAATTATGATGCTAGATTCATGGGCAAGTTCCAAACTTTTTTTAACGAGGTAGTCGTCAAGAAAGGAAAATCCCTGACACGACAGCCTTCGCCAATACACGAAGTTTCATCCATGCGTCCTTTGAAATGCTTGCCAGATCCCTGAGCATTTTTTTTTCTTTTTTTTTTTCTTTTTTCTTTTTTCTTCTCCTTCTTTTTTTCCACAAGGAATTTGATCGGACATACTGTTCAGGGAACGCACTTCCCTTATTTATTTACACACTATTTCCACATTATTTATACTTCCTTCACATTACGGAAATATGGATTATCAGACTCTATTGACTAAAATCAGAGCTATGACCTTTTATGTCTTGAAGTTTAGAATGTTTTTTTTTTTTATTTTAAGAGCCTCAGCGCTAAAATATTTTGTGAAAAAAATGTGAATTTTATTTTAAGGTGATTCATTCCAGTTTCTGGCTCAGTCGGACTGGCACGTGATATATTGCATTGAATAAGTCAAAAATCTTGCAGAGTTTGACTTTTTAGCTAAGAAAAGGACGCAAGCATCAGAATCATTCTCCGCCAAAAATTGGCTCAGTTAAGAGAAATAAAAGGAGAATTATTTTTTTTTTTTTTTAAAAAAAAAAAACATTGCATTTGATACATTCAATAATCGACTTCTAACTTTCCCTCACAAAAGTGTCATTGAATTTTCTTATTTTTCCTTTGAACAGGTTTTGACACCCTCACGTAGTATTTTATTAATTTGAAAAAAAAAAATAAAAATAGAAAGTTTATTCAGTAGTTCCTATCATGTTCCTTTATCCTACGCGCACCTGACTAATTCACAATATTGTTTGAACTTTGTTTTGAAGGAGATTGAAAGATTGAAAAAGCGGTTACGGATGCTCCAAAGTTCGGAAAAGGCGAATGTTGAAAACGGCCTTAATACTGACAAAGTGGACGGAGGTGGACTCAACCCTGTCAAAGTAGACGGATCCTCTAGTCCTCGCCCTGCCATATTAGAGAAAAACCCTCTAAGAGAACGAAATTAACCAAGATTCTCGAACAGTTTGTTGATTCTATGTGTCTTAAGTCTCGAGGCAAGATTTTAGATTTCTCCTAAACCTGTTTTTTTTTATTATTTTTACTTTTGTGATTATCAAGCATGTAGCTTCTTGACGAAGACCTTCACCTTACGAAAAAAATTAACGTCTCCTCTTGCTTCCGCATACTATCGCAGAAGCCATCATTTTGAAAACGAATCCTGATGCACTTTTTTCATCCGGACTCTTTCAAAAATTTGAGGCGCGGTGCCGTCAGTAGGTTTAATTCTTTCAGGGCTAAGTCCAGGGTTATTTTCCTCGCATACTTTTCGAAAACGCTTTCATTACCAAGAGTTCGTGAGGTAAATTAAAATTCAAGTCATATCCAAATATAAATGTTAATCTTAAGTTTAAAAAAATATAAATTTCTATCGCAGAAGCCATCATTTTGAAAACGAATCCTGATGCACTTTTTTCATCCGGACTCTTTCAAAAATTTGAGGCGCGGTGCCGTCAGTAGGTTTAATTCTTTCAGGGCTAAGTCCAGGGTTATTTTCCTCGCATACTTTTCGAAAACGCTTTCATTACCAAGAGTTCGTGAGGTAAATTAAAATTCAAGTCATATCCAAATATAAATGTTAATCTTAAGTTTAAAAAAATATAAATTTCTACAGATTTAGATTTGAATTTTGAATTCAATTATTTTTAGATATTTAATCGATAGAATAAAATATAATGATTATACGAATATACAGTTTACACTTAGATTAATAATGAGGCAAATAATTAGTTTCAAGCTGATTCAAATGTCGGGTCGATCCACTATCGAGAAGGTCAGTTAAGCTCATGTCATCCAAAGTCAAAGGCAAATGTAGGCCGTAAACGGAAGGGGCTGCTTGAACTTTTTTCTGAGTGTGAAAGGCTTGATCAGGGTTCAGACTCAATAGGTTTCCATAGGTTTAAATGGAGAAAAACAGAGTTGCCAACTTGCTGGATCCGGGCATGTGCCACGATGCGCCAGCTCATGCCGAGACGCTGCCCGATTTTTATCGACTTCCGGAGATTCGTTATTTTATACATTCTCCCGGGCGAGCGGTGCTGCACTCGAGGCCCGGCTTAAGTGGGAAAATCGAAAGGCATTCAGTGGCGAGGCGTGAACGATCGATTATCGATGTTTCCGCATTTGAAGCCGTGGTAATGAATCGATTCTCGAGGTGTTCGTCGCGAGCACCCTGTTTATCGATCCTTTTCCGTGGCTTTAAATGACAGAGCGATCGATGTATCGCGAAGCACGCCGCGCCACCGAAGGCGTCGTCTTGCAAGTCGAAAGCACTCAGCGACGGAATAACTCGTCGGCTCAGTTTACGAGATCACGCTCCGAGGAGCCCGTTCATTCCTCATTACCGAGCGCTAATATCCCGTCCTCGGCAGAAACCTCGTATGTCCATTCGAATTCCGTCGAATTTCCTCCCGAGAAAATGTTCATTTTTCACGGAACTCATGAATATTTTCCTCTGAAATATTTCGATAGTTTACCTTGAGATCCAATTTAATGTCTCTGCTGAATTGTATGCTCGAAGTAATGTAAAGTTCTTATCTTTGTGTTTTATCGAAGGAAACTTCGCAACGACGGAGTTTCCTCACGGTGTTTTTCTTAATAAGCAGTAATCCCGTCTTACCCGCCGATCGGCAAAG